AAGAAATTCAGGAACAGTTACTGAAAAGCAAGTGTTATATACCTTAGTCTTCTGTATGAAGAAATTCCTTGATGAATTCTTGATTGAAGTTCTAAGTCTGAAATCTTCTAAGAATAAGCCCTCAAGTCCCTGTGTTCGGACACCAATTAAATAATCTTCAACGCTAAATGACTTTTCAAAAAGAAACTTTATTGAAAAATGACAGCAAATATGATATAACTGGTCTAATTTCTATCTAAAATAATAACTAGTCTACTTCCTAACTAAAAATGATTCTGAATTCTGAATAGTGTCTCATGCTAAGAGGAGATCGTATTTATAAGGATAATGAAAGGAAATGAGTCAGTGCTGACATTGCACTAGCACGGACCTTTAAGTATATATATACTCTGACAGGCAAAAAAATTCACCCACTTGATTTTTTCATGTTTTCATCTAAAAATATTTCTGCTTTGGATTGGTCTATTGTTTTTAATGAATAAATAGTTAATTTTTTTGTTTGTTTTCAATTAGGAATGTTAATATAGAGGACAATAACCCTTAATCCTTAATTCAATGAAATGATTCTAGATTCCAAGATTCCAAAATGAACCATTATTATTCTAAAAGAAATGAATTACGTAGCGCGTGTTTCTTCCTCTTGCCTTCACTACTTCTTGAAGATGCCTCGGCATACTTTCCACCAGTTGGGAAATGTCCCTTTGTTGGAGGATAGCCCATTCCTCCCGAAGAGCCCTTTCAAGGTCCTGCAGTGTATCAGGAAGTGTTGCACGCGCTCTTATTCGTCTTCTGAGGTTATCCCATAAATGCTCAATGGGGTTCAAATCTGGAGAACGTGCTGACCAGTTCAGAAATTTGCACACCTCGAACTTCTTCGAGCTGATGAATCGCTTGAACAACGATAAGGTGCCGGTTTCGTAAAATTCTCAAAGTCAAAAACCGGTCATCCCGTGGTTCTGTTACCCTAGGCCGCCCAGAACCAGGGCCTTCTATTGTAAGAACCAGTTTCCCGAAAACGCCTGGCGGCGTCTCGTACAGTTTCTTATGGAACTCCGATGGCATTAGCTGTATATCTAATGGAACGTCCATCATCAATAAGTGCCATACCACGTGCAACATCCTCAGCACTAAGAGACATTTTAAAACTTAATATTGAAAAAATTAAAAGCCGGAGACTAAGAAATGTGCTGCAAGAAACGGCACTGAACTAATGATACTGAATAAACATTTTGATTCCATAGAAAGTAAACATTGGAATCTAGAATCATTTCATTGAATTAACTATTAAGGGCTATTGTCCTCTATATTAACATTCCTAATTGAAAACAAACAAAAAGATTATCTATTTATTCATTAAAAACAGTAGACCAATCCAAAGCAGAAATATTTTTAGATGAAAACATGAAAAAATAAAGTGGGTGGAATTTTTTGCCTGTCAGTGTATATATATATATATATATATATATATATATATATATATATATATATATATATATATATGTACATATATATAAACATTAAGGTTGGTTAAGGCAGCTCAAAATTTACAAGGTCAAGGTCTGTAGAAACAACTGAAAAAACAAAACAATTATATGTAAAAAAAATAAAAATAAATATATAAATGCTTTTTTCAGTTGGCTTTACAGACCTTGCAGATCTTTAGTTATCTTAACCAGCCTTCTCCACCTCTACCTATCTTGTGCTACTGCTTTCCAGTTTTCTGTATAAAGTTCTCTGTTGATTTTGTCTATCTATCTGGGTTTTGGCCTCCCATGTGGTCCCTTGCCTACTATTATGGCATTCGTTGTTGTGTAGCGGTGTCCTGATTTATTGCGTTGACTTATATACCCTACTCATCTTAACTTCCTTGCCATTATATGAGATATTGACTGACCAGTTTCTTTTAGCAGTTCTTTATTGTTCCTTCTTCTCTATGCGTTGCAGTTGTGATCCCAGATAGAACTTATCTATCGGCTATTGTGCGGAGGACTTGAATTTGAATCTTTCAAGTTCAAGTCCAAAACAATGCCAGTTAGAGCATGACATCAGGGAATGTTCGCAATTTCTGTTTGGATGTTATCCTTCAGGTCTTGTAGAGTTCTTGGATGGTTAAACACGGGTTTTAAATTAGATAAACACGGGATTTAAACAAAAACTTGCAAGGTGCCAAATAGGGAGAGCGAACTGGCCACTCCAAATCGCCCCTTATTGATATGAGGGTCTCTGGGAAGTGTTTCCTCAAAATTGCCATTGATGTCTTTGAAGTCCTGCTGGAACCAAATGTCCTATAAGTCCAATTCATTAATTCGTAAGAAGTAGACTGGAAAAGTAGGCCTCAATAGCAAACGCACGCTTCTCTCTGTTCCAATTCTGGCAACACTCACTGACTGGGGTATGGACAAACCTTTAGGACCACTTCTCTCAATTGATACCATTCCCACCACGCTACGACCTCTTCAGCCTAAATGGCGCTCATTTCAAGTAAGGAAGTTATTTGTCGCGGATTATACAATAATGAATGATAAAAAATTATGAATATAGTATGTTAAAAATACAAATCCCAGTGTGTTTAAAGGGTGTTTATCGAATTTTGTATTGACCCTAATTGACCTCTTCTGGGTATTTCAGTTGTCTTATTATTGGCTTTGGAATCTAATGGTGAATAAATAAGTAAATATGGTAGGGCAATGGTTCTCGTAGTTTGGTGCTGCTAAATTTTCGAGTAATTAATAACAAAGTATTAAATTAAATTTGAATATGTTTTTTTTAATTATACTGGTAGAATGGGAAGGAGGGCTGCTGAGGAAAGCTATGAAAATAAATGCTTCCAAGAGTAAAGTGATGGAAATGGCGAGAGAAGAACAGGAAGACTTCTAATTGGTTTGCAATGGAGAAGTTCTTGAGGTAGTGAAGATTACACCAACTTAGGTACTATAATTACTAACTCTGGTAAGCTAGATGCTGAGATTTTGTACAGAATATCCAAGACAAATCATACATACTACCAGATCACTAGCAGTATCCTCAGCTGCCGTGAAGTGGATAAAAAGACCAAGATGCACATCTAAAAGTTAGTGTACCTGCCTATTCTTAACTGCGGCGGAGAAAGCTGGACTGTGTTGGATAAACATTACAGTCACATAACAGCAGCAGAAATGCGGTTTCTACGTAGATCGGTGAGAAAAACTAGGAGGGATTGCATTAGAAACGAAACTATAAGAGAACAGCTGGAAGTGCTTGAACTCAAAACCACTTTGGAGACAGGCAACTAAAGTGTTTGGATATGTCTGCTACATGAACGAGGACATGGACCCTATAAAGCTATTAGTGGCTCAACCCACAGGCAAGAGATCACGAGGGTGTTCCAGAGTTTTATATCAGGAATTCATGCAGAATATCGGAGGTAGAAGAAGCAAATCCTTCAACCAAACGAAGTGGTTAAACAGAAACCAGGAAGAGTGGCTAGAGGCTCCTCGATGCTACAAATGGCATTGTGAGGAAGACAAAGAAGAAGAAGAATTATATATATATATTATATATGATATATTTTTGGTAAACATGTTTTTTTTTAATTACAGTTCTGATTGTTTATAATCCTATTCTATTTTGTATTTTATTTACTTCTATAGTTTATTATTTAATTATCAAAAATAATGATAACAATAATAATAGGGGTACCATGAATTTTCAACAATTTATTCGTGTCACCAAAAAATTTTGAAAACCACTAGGTTAGTTACATAGTATGAGATTTAAATGTTGTTCAAAGGACTTTGTACTAATGCAAGACATTAACTAATGTTACAAATTAGTTGTTTGTTATCAATCGAGAGGTTAAAGTTAATATTTGTAACCTGTATCATCATTTTATCAACTGAGCTCATTAAAAACAAAATCAAGAAATATATTTTGGGTCAGCTGCTTAAAAATTTTATACTTTTAAAATTTAAAAATACTTTTAGTATAATGACCAATCCAAGGCACTAAAAAAGAATATGTTTTCCCGAATATCATTATGTTTTTCTTCTGATGCAGCACTGGAACCATGGGATTGTAGTTGGGAGTTTTAGAGCTTTTTTTGTTATATTTCAGAGAATAGGGCCTAAAAAGAGTGAAATTGAGAGTAGAAATGGAAAAATTGGCCACCATTGGCGTATGTGGAAAGAATGGCAGTCAACTGGTTGCCAAAAATAAAAAATAAATGAATGGCCTGGAGGAGCTAGACTACAGACTTTAGGCACACCACTGAGGTGGTTAAGGAGGCTCAGGTGGTAGTCTACTGGTAGCTCTCTAATTTTTGAAATCTAAATTATTATAAAAACTAATCTCTAATTGCCTGGTCTCTATATTTAAGAATAAACTGGATAATTGATAATAAAAAATAAAATAACATGGGACAATTTATATTGAAAAATGATACTATTTTTCATTTATTGACCAATCTTTTTATTTGGATCTGGGATCTCCAAACTACAGCCCACTGGCCTCATCCGTCCCTCAAGTACCTCTGATCAGGCTCGTGTAAATTTCTTTGATTATATAGTAAAATTTAAAAATATGAAATTTAGTAAACCACTCCATCATGAGATAACTGCAACATTTATTGCATGAATTGTTTCTCTTAGAAAGCTCATTTTACAACTAAAGTTTCATATATGGAACAAACTTTTTTTTTCAACACAAGCCATATTCCTCGCTACTTAGTGGGAGTCTCGATGGGGCCCGTGAGACTTAGTGGAGGTCTCAATGTGGCCCAAAATTTCGAGATCCATGATTTAATTATATTAGTGACTTTCTTAAGTTTAATTTGTCTGACACCAAGTTCAAATTCAAATTTTATTGATTTCTATATTTGAGATTATTTAAGTATAGAAAATTATTATGAATAATTTGCCTTGATATGATTATCAGTATTATAGAGGAAATTTATTTTACCTTATTTATTTCCATTTACAGCCTTTATATATCTTGGGTATATCTATTATTATTTTCTGTTTTAGTTAGAACTAAAGAAGATGTAGAACTTAAAACTATGCTTGATATTGAGTTGAAGGAAGTAAAAGAAAAATTATTAGAACTTGAATACCAGGTAATATGATGACTGGTTTGAGACGGCTTTTCTTTATTACTGATTTTTTTTTACAATGTTACAACATTGTCATTATTTGTTTGATTTATAAGCAGTCTAGTACTTATAGAGTAATGGTTCAACCATATGGAGACTCAGTACAAGATACAAGGAAATGATGACATCTAATCTCCAGATCTTGCTAATAAACTGATTTAACTATCCCTATTATGTTAATTGGCATTTATCATAATCGTTTGATTGAAATAAATACAATTTTTATGGTTCTTACTAATGATCGTAATTTTCCTCCGTATTTTTTTATTGAGCCACTCTGAATAACAATAATTATGAAGCTAGGAATAAAAAATTAGGCATTAAAAATGGACCATTGATCATTTTAGGTATTGAAAAATCAAAGAATCCATTTCCACTGATACACCTCTAGTTCATGAGAACTGCCATCAGCTGACTAAGACCTATTGTAGAAACGTTTATCTCTTGGGTTAGCATAACGAGCCGAATTCTGACAGTTGTGATCAAACTAAAGCAGTTATGATTTTAATAACCAGTAATAATCTCAATAAAGCTGTAATAGGTAGAAAGTGGTCAATGATATATATTCAATTATAACCAGGACCTGGATTTTTATGCAGTAAAAACCCACATAATGTCCATAGAATATGCAATAAAAATTGTCAAATATACAGTAAAAAAACATAAAATATGCAGTTAAAAATCTCTAAATGTGCAATGAAACGTTTAAACGTGGCTTGTTTTTAATAGAAACTTGTTTTGAATAATACAATAGAAGTAAAAGCAAACCTTTCAATGAGTTTTAAACTGTTTCGTGTTTGGATTTGTAAGAGTCAATCCAATATTTCATTTTGGAAAATAATGTACTTAAAATTTTGAAAAATAAAACCACTTGTTAAACATAAAATATTGAAACTGATTCTAGTGCTTAGAAGTTAAAAGGAATGAGAATTAAATGGATACAAAACCAGGAAATGAAAAAAATCCATATTCTAAGAAGTCAATAACTGAAGGTTGCACCATTTTGTTATCTGTTGATTGAAAACCAAACTACTATTGTGTTATGGAATTTCATCTTCAATGTGAAATTTTAATTCATTATTTCATAATCAAAAATTAAGTTTATTAATTGAAAAATATTAATTTTAAAATTAAATAATTAAATTATTGGCTAATTTCATATAAGTACACTGATTCATACTGTACATATGTACATAACTACATATGTACATACATACATAAGTACACTGATCACCAATTTAAAAACTACATTCAAACAAAATATGCAATTGAATAAAAATCCAGGTCTTGATTATAACAATGTGTCTTGTGACATTTGTTATCAATTTGTTTATTAGTGTAATATGCCTATTAATAAATTGTGTTATGATTTTGGTGTAATGGCTTGCCCCTATTATCTTTAAGGCTTATAATTATAGTTAAAATTCTTCTTTTAATGCCACCACATAATTATTAAAAATACGTCTTTGTACCTGCTTTGCTACAATTGGATATTTTGTATTCCATCTAAAGTGTGATTGATGTGATCTTGCTTAACTCTTTAAAGAAGGGGGACTCATATATGAGTCAAGATGGAACTGGGCCCTGGCGACGGCAGAGATGGGCAAATGCTACTTTGAGTGCTAAACACCAAGTATTTTACTCAAATACTTTTTTTTGAGTACCAAAGAAATTAATTAATGCTTCAGTTGATTACGCGATTAACTGAAGTAGTGATCGAATTCCCAATAGTGATTCAGTTTGAGTAAAATACTTGGTATTAGGTACTCGGAATAGCATTTTCCCATCTCTGGGCGACGGTGGACTCATATATATGTCGAGATGGGGCTGTGTCCAGGTGATAGTGGACTCACATTTGAATCGGGCTCTTTCTCATTAAACCACGGGGTACTCAGTGATGAATTCTACTTTCAGACTATCTTGTAGGCTTTCTATGAGGCAGTAGATAATTTTTATATGGCTAGAACACTATTTTACTTCAGCAGATAACCCTTGCATTCCATACCTGATATGTTTTACGTATATCACGTTCATTCTTATTAATGTATTAATATATTTCAGTATACTTTTTTGTTCGAAGTAGAGAAAGACAGAAGTATTAAACAGTTTTGTTTTTAGTACTTGACTCATTCAACTGTATAGAAAGTAAAGGTTTAAAAATTCATATTTAAAAAAAAGTTTATAGAAGGTCAGGTAAAAATACAATATTTCAATTGTATAAAATTTAGATAAAAACCCAAAATAAAGTAGTTTGGAATGATGCCCTAAATAAAAATGCTTAAGTGGTTAGTTGAGGTGAGTATTCTGTTATAGAGTTACGGAGAAGTGTTGGCTAGTACTGACGCTAAAAGGTTAATGTAATCAGCCATTTTCTCCATAAGTACTAGCAGTCATTATTTGTCTAATATTTTAACCAACATTATGGATCATTATGGCTACAATGTATTCACAAACACATGCATGAATGTTGTAAACTTCAAACAATGACTATTGTATACCATTTTTTCTTTATTAGTTATAACATTTGTTGTGTTTGTATCCATGTTTCAGTTCTTATGTTGACCTAAAATGTAGATTGAAACATCTGTTATAAATAACTAAAACAAGATATGTGTATTATATTTACCTTACCTGAATTAAAACAAAAACTTAACCTTTACAATCCGGATGATTCATTTTAACTCATATTAAATAAGAATGATTATAAAAAAAATATAGTGCTGTGCGCTCATCACACAACTGTCACTTACCATTATTCGAGTAAATTGGTATTTTTGTTTACAGGGAAGTCAAAGTGAAAATAGTGGTATAACTTCATTTTAAACAAGTGATAACCATGTTTTTCTCACCCATCGAATATGTTAAATTTATACATTTGCATTACTTTTCATTTCCTTTTACAACTGTGTATAGTATCAAACAATACTAATGACTGAGGAGAAAAATGGATTTTTGGAAAAATTCTGAGTTTTATCAGAAACATTTATCACGAAACTCGTTGATATGTAAGGAAAAGTAATTTAATCTTAGTAAATATTGTATATTATTAGGTTTATACTAGTAGGTCCTCAATATTTCACATGAAAACCTTCCTAAAAAATTATTGATAAATGATATATAAAAGTTAAACTAACTTCATGAAGGCCCTTTACTGAGGGGTAACGGGTATCTGTTAAGGGTAAGGGTGAGGATTGGCAAAGGTCTGACACTCTCGGCTGTTTCCATATAGCTTCCAACCCTTATTTCTCCTTTAGTTGCCAATCAATTTTCTTCATTCATTATATCTAACAATTTTTTATATCAGTTTATAATGTGAAATGGTTAATTATTTCACATAAAAATAATTAAAGGTACTTTAGAGGAATAAATTTTGAAAATTAATCTTTTATATCTTGTACGAGAACACCAATGATAAGAAAACCTACATTATATTATAAAATGCTTAATTTTACACTGATAGAATGGCCAATTTCGATGAAAAAGTTGCTGTAACATCGGAGGCATGTAAAAACTTTAAGTACGCAACTTCAGTTGAGCTACTGTTCACATACATACACACACACAAACAGACCATTTTGCGGGGCTTGGTTATTTGGACTCAGGGGATCTCAAAACATGCATTTCCATTGAAAACTCAGATTAGAAAACTTTCACGATCACAATACTATCCCTTACTATATATTACATATATATTTAAGTGAAAGTAAAAAGGATGAAAGTAAATTATTCATCTTGACATTTCAATGTTAAATCTTATGTTATAAGATATTCTTTCAATTATTAAAAGGCATTCATAGAATTATTGATAAAACTACATACAATAAGTTGACCTCTAATGCATTTATTCATGTAACAAAATAATTATGAAACAAAAATTTTCATAACTTAGATCAAATTAATGTATTAGTTGTATATTTTTAGTCTTAAGCATATTACACTTTCAAAATAGATTGACTGGTCCTAGAAAAAAAAGTTTTGTATTTATTGTAATGTCCAACTTGTTAGTCTAATTCTTTATATATTAAACAATTAGGTAGGGAGGAAGAAAATTAAACTAAAAACAATTTCTATTAACGTGGTGGATCAGTTTGATTCCTTAGAATTTCATCTTCATTATATACCTAAAATATGGAGGGTAGAGTTCCCTGATTCTCGACTACTAATCTCCTTGAAGTCAAAACATGCCTGTTAACTAATTGCCTTGATGTTTGCTAGTTGTTTGGATTTTGAATTATTAGCAATTTTATTTACCAATCTCTTGGAAGAGTTTATTGTTATTAGTGTTTTTATTTATTTAGAAATTCTCCAATACTGTGGTTTTCCTTGACCTAAATATCTTTTAAGTTATTTTCCCATTCTTCTCTATTTTTTTTTTTTTTTTTTTGTACTCTCCTTCCTCGCCTTAAGGCTATACGGGGGTTTTCCCGGGCCAGGGAGTGTGGGAGGGGATTTAAAAACTCCGGGCACCGGGACGCGAACTCGTGACTATTTTTTTTTTATCAAAGTCTTATGTATCAGGTTGCCGGGCAACGGCGGTGCAGTGCACACGCGTTAGCCCATTCGGCCACCCCACTTGCTCTTTCCTGATGCCATGTCCTGCCAGGCTTTCTTCCACATCGTCTTTTCATTTTACATTTGGCCTTCCATTTTTCCTTCTTCCTTGTACTTCCAATTCCATACTTATCTTTTGTAATTTTTCTGGATACATTCTTTTTTACATGCCCAAACCAGTGTGATAGTTTTTCTTCAATATTTGCAATTTTTTTTTTTCACTTTCATCAGTTTCTAAATTCCTTAATTTTTTATTCTTTCCCTTCAGGATTTTCTCGCTACTCTGCTCTAAAAATTCATTTCTATCGCTAGCAGTTTTTTTCCATTTTCTTTTATTAATAACCCATGGCTCCAAGCGCTATACCACTAGAGGATCAAATGTAGGTTTGTATAATAGCCTCTTTTTGTACTGAGATCTATATTCAAGATCCAAAGGATGCTGTTGAGCATTGAAGTAGCTTTTCTAATTTTCCATTTGATATCATCGATTGAGGTACCTTCGATTAATGATTGAATGCAGGTATTAAACTTCTCCACTGTTTTAATACATTTCTCTTAACGTATTATATGATGATGTACAGAGGTGCTCTGTTTTTTAATATTAATCTTCAGCTCCCACTTTTTATTGTTTTACTTTTGCAATAAAAATGACCTAATCTTAATTCTCAAAATGTATGGAATGCTGGTAGTTCACCCATTTCTGTAACTTTCCAGATTTCAAGTATTTGGACAAAATGACGGAGAGAATATGCAATGTCCCACAAGACTTGGGACAATTCACAGTATGCTACTTATTGAAAATGGAAATGAAATTATGAAAGAATTTGAAGGGGAATTAGAGACAGTTGCTGAGGACAGCATCATGAAAACTGATAAGGAGGACTCAAAAACTGAACTATGCAACTGTTAAAGTGAATCCTGTGATTAAAAATATGAGTAATGTCTTTAGACATGATAAAGAAAGAAGTGGAATAGTTGTTCCCCCTCATTCCCAAACTTCACACGCGCTCTCACAAAAATTTACTTGGGGTAAAAATTCTCAAATGCACAATGAGTGCTGGACTAAATTTGATGAGCCTTGGTATCGTGAATATAATTATTCATTAAACAAATTAGATATTGACAAAATATAAGATAATTTTAACAGAAAAATCTTATTTCAACCTTGTTTTAATATTTTGTTTATCTTTTGCCTGAAAATGACAATTCAAATAAATTTAATTACATTCTTCGAGTGTTAAAATGACCCGAATGATAAAACCATATACATTTATGGATAACCATATTCCTAGTAAAAGTAACCTAGAGTATAGACTAAAAATCAAAACCGCATATTATTATAAGTTTATTAAGTTGTTTAAATAATATATTATAGACCATATAAAAATGCGAAAATATAAAGTGGATCAATCTGAAACATGACAATTGGGGAATCATTTGAATACTATGCCTTCATAGTTATTTTTAATGTAAGAAATTAAAAAAATATGTTATAGTTGTAAATAAATTTGTATTTATTGAAATTTTTATTTCATCTAGTTAACTACAGTAGTTGAGAAACACTGATTAATATAATTACTTATAAGAATTATTCTTGTTTGTTCTGGCTTAATTAAATTACAACCTCATTATGGTTTAATATTTTGTAGAAATGATTATATATCTATAACAAAAATCTGGTGTGGTACGCACATCACATAACTTTCACTTACCATTCTACTTCGAATAGAAATAGGTATTTTCATACATAGGGAAGTGAAAGTAAAAATTATAGATGGCATAACTTATTCCTGTTAGAAAAATTAATTACCATGTTTTTCCCACCCATCAAATCTTAAATTTATATATTGGCATCACTTTACGTTTTCTTTTAACATGTGTATAATATCTAATAACAAACTAATGTTTGTGGTTAGAAATGGATCTTTTGGAAAAAAATCTGAGCTTTATCAAACATATATATCATGATACTCATTAAGCATTAATGCTGTTTTAGAAAAAAATGTACGAATTCGATTATATAAAGTGCCACTTGTTAAACAATTTTGACAAAAAGTAGCTGTAACATCCCTGGCCAAACATACCTACCTTTAATACCTAATTTCAATTTCATAATTTTTTTGTTTTTGAGCTAGCCTCTTCACATATCTGTTAACACAGACCTTTTTGCAAAATCTGGTTTTTTGGACCTAGGAAACCTCAAAATGTGTTTTCTGTGGAAAACTCAGATTCAAAACTTTTTCTTACTATATATTTCATATACAAGTTAGTGAAAGTAAAAATCAATCTGTACTATTACAATCTACGAAGGGTCTAATTCTGTTCTTGGTGAGTTAAGGATAGTGTATTTCTTGATCAATGAATATATAAAGGAGATAATGTGGTTGGCATGCATGCTCAACTACCAGATTTATAGTTAGGATTCAAGTGCCTTACCCATTGAGCTACATTTCTATTTAATCATTTATTTTTATTTGAAAATTTATGAAATAATATTTATAGTTCTCACTTGTACCAACTATATTTTAGCTTCTGGATGCTGTGGTCCCTAAAGTACCTAGTTCAAATGAAGTAATTCTTGAAATAAATGCTGGAGTGGGAGGCCAAGAAGCTATGTTATTTGCAAAAAGTTTATATGATATGTATTGTGGGTTCATCAATTACAAAAAATGGTGTATAACAACTGAAGAAGTGGGTGTATCAGATTTAGGTAAAACATTAAAATTGTTTATTCTCTGTTTTTTTAACGCTTTTTTGACCTGCAATTTTAAACATAAATTATGTCATGTCACCAGCTATTAGTTTGGAATGCTTGTGCAATCGTTGTTGGTCAACAATGTCTGGGCATGAAAAGATTAGTTAATTCGTTACCGGTCAACAGTGTGCTAATTTACAATAGATAAAATCTAATATTTTTATTATAGGATTGATGGCCAAGACTTTTGTGATTTTAAGAAAACCATCTTTCCTTTTTTTGAATTCTCTAATTTACGAACTAACTCTGTCACAGTACTGTGATGTATGAATGCTTTAGTCTCCTTGACAATTCTATCCCCCTTAGACCAGTTATTTGCAGTTCTTCCCCATCTTACTACCTTTATGAGCCTAAGTCCGGCTTCACATTGAGTGGTGTAGTTGATTCAATATAGTTGCCTTGTCAACATCCGATTATTTAAATCAAGTGTGAAAACAAAGCTGCCTTTTGAGTTTATTGAGGCAATAGGAACAATCATTTTTGCAGCCTTCCCTTTGAAAGGTCAAACTAATCATATTTACATTGTGTATTTATGCATAGCTTTATTTATAAATATGAATATTTATAAATGTTATAGAAAGAAAAGAAAGTGTTGTCTATTTAATCTGGGTCTCCAAGAACATTGAATTATGCCTCAAATGTTCTCAAAAAGAAAGTGAAAAGAGTGTTGTTTTGAATAACTAGTTTACTATGGACGGTAGTAATAATAAATACTTAAATAGACAATTATTATTAAATTAGGATATTAAGTAATTAAGTATTGAGTGGATCCATAAGTTTGTTCGGTTTTTGTTAAAAGTGCGAATTGTTTTCAAATATGTCTGGTTCTCTTTGACTTATCTGACAATAAGTCAATCTCCAATGGCAATTATTGGAAAGACCAAAGTTTGTTCTTCGAAATTGTGTTTGGTTTCATTGGCATTACTTTTGTTTGTGCTACGTAGTGAATATGTCAAATGATAAAGTGCATTTTCGTTATATTTTAGTTTTTTATTTTAAAAAAGGCAAGCAGGATTCGGAGACAAACCAAAAGATATGTAAGGTATATGGTGATGATGCCTTCACAGAACATGCTGCTAAAATATGGTTTGTCATGTTTCATTCCGGAGATACGAGTCTTGAAAAAGTTTTTAGGTTTTCTGTAGAAAACTCAGATTAAAAAATTTTTTTTACTATATATTTCATCACCCATATATTCACCATATATTTTATCACCCCCCATCGGTCAGCCCACCGAGGTTGATTTGAGTAGTATCAAGGTTCTAATGGAACAAGATTGGTTGTTACAGGTATGAGAAATTGTGGAGACATTGAAAACTGGAACATTGGAAGTGTTAAAGGCATTTATTTCTCAAACGAACAGTAAGGGGTGATGAAAATTGGATCATCTACAACAATATAGTGTGCAGAATATCTGCAGGAAAACTGCTGACGAGTCGCCTAATGCCATCCCAAAGGCCGGCCTCCCAAAAAGATTTTGCTCTCCATGTGGTGTGATTATTGAGGCGTGATGTTTTAGTTAGGAGCTGCTTCCACATGGAAATACAATTGATTTGAATATCTACATGCAGCTAATGAAATCAGGCCAAGCATTGTGATAGAAACGCCCAGAACTAGTGATTCTCAAAGGTGTTGTATTCCACCATGACTACGCCAGAACACATTGCAATAATCGCGCAGCAAAAGTTTTTGCAACTTGGCTGGGATGTTTTATTACACTCACTGTATTCTCCGGATCTTGCACCATCTGACTATCACTTATTCTGGTCCCTCCAAAATTTCCTCAGCAAGAAGTGCTTCGCTGATGAGAGAGATGTGAAAATGTTTCTCAATCAGTTTTCTCTTCTAAGTCCCAGATGTTTCATGAGAGTGGAATAATTAAATTATTAAAAAGATGGCAAGAGGTTATTGAATAAAATGTATTCTTTGTAGGATAAAAACCTTGTTTTATTTCACCCTTCAAATACCGAATAAATTTATAGATCCACACAATAGTTTTATAAAAAAAAATTATGTAGTATTTTATCTTTAATTTTTTATGGAGCTGAGATATTTGAATTTTTCTACTCTTGGGAATGATTTTCCTTCTACGCAGATCCTTTTATTGGGGTGGTATTTTCGGCTTATTATCATATATTTTGTTTTGTCTTCATTTACTTGTAGGCCGATCTGCTCTGCCTCTCTATCAGTGTTGTAGTGGGGTTTTCAATCTGTTCTTGATTACTTCCAAGAACAGCTCATCTGCATTTCCTAGGATTTTATGATTCATTCCGACGTGGACCCCTCCATTTTCGTGTGATGTTGATCTTATTACCTTCTCCAGGGCTAAGTTGAACAACATCAGTGATTGTCCATCTTCCTGCCGTAAGCCTATACGAACTTTGAAGACTTCAGATACTTCTCCTTGTATTAGACTCTCTTAGGGTCATTTGTACACGCCTTTGTCAATCTCACCAAATTACTGGGAATTCCCAGTTCAGTCATGATTTTCCAAAGACAGCTCCTGTCCACAGAATCATAGGCTGCTTTGAAATAGAGGAATAGGGCGTGGGGACGTCCTGAACTACTTCCCATCGTTTTTTGAGTACTTGTTTTAGGATGAAGATCTGGTCTAGCGTACTCCTTCTTTTTCTGAATCGACCTTGGTGGTCGCCTATTATATTCTCGTAATACGGAGGATATATCCGGTATAGTAGGATATTGGTCTAGAAGTCAACGAGAAGAAAACTAAGTATATGAGAGTTGGTGGTGAGATGGATCTGAACTCTCCATTTGAGGTAGGTTCTTTTAAGTTTGAGAGAGTAAAAAACTTTATATACCTTGGGTCTGAAATAAATAACAAAAATGACATGGCTCAAGAAATACAGAGAAGGATCACGGCTGCCTATAGATGTGTCTTTGGACTTGGCCGACACTTTAAAGTAGGTTTCTCTCAAAGAAGACCAAGCTTATTATATACAAGACCCTTGTACGGCCTGTTTTGACATATGGCTCAGAGGCTTGGACGATGACGAAAAGTAATGAGATGAAGCTGAGTGTGTTCTAGCGAGGACTCCTCAGAAGGATCTATGGTACAGTAAAAGAGGGTGATGTCTGGAGGAAAAGTAAAAATAGGGAGCTCAGTTCTCTTCATACAGACATTGACGTCACCTACATGAAAAAACTTTGCCAGACCAAGGTGGGCAGGGCATGAGGTCAGAATGAGCGACTTTGAAATACCCCAAAAAGTTATGATTGAGGAGCTGCACCTTGCAAGATGGGTAGGAAGGCCGAGGACGACATGGCTGGACAGGGTGGCCTATGATACAAGAACCCTGCTTGGGGCACGGAACTGGAGAGCTGCAACAGAAGACAGAGCCAACTGGCGGAGGCTCTTGGAGGGGGCCCAGTTTCAGTAACGGAATGTCGCACAACATATGTATGTATGCAGTAGGATATTGGTCATTATCTTTTGGCAACCGGAAGGAGTACTATGTCTCTGTAATTACTACACTCATACATGGAGCCTTTCTTTAGGAAAGGAGTGGAGTGATTAGGCCCATATTCCTATATTTTCTGGATTAGTTATAATAGCCTGGTCTTAAGTCGTCTCCTCCATCTTTAAACAGTTCTGATGGTAGGTTGTCTATCCCTGAGGCCTTTCTTGTTTTGAGCATTTTGATAGCTATTTCTACATCCATAGCTATATCTGGTTTTCAACCTCTTCTAGATCAAGATCCTCAGTGTGGTCTTTGTCTTCATCGTTCGTTGGGTCCCCTTGATTGAGAAGTTCTTGGAAATGTTCTTTCCAGATGTTCAGTATACTTTCTTTAGATGCCCTCAAAATACCAGCTTTTCCTTGCGTATTTACATATATTTCACTTTATATCCTACTCTTTCTTTCCAAATGTCTGTGTAGAATTCTCTTATATCTCCAGCCTGCCAATTGTCCTCAATGGTTTGCAATCTTTTGAGAAATTCACTTTTTGCCTATCTTATAGTTTTGTATGCCTTTTTCTTGGTTACTGTGTACTTATCCTGAGTTACTTGGTCAGTTGTAGTTAGGCAGATGACTTTTATTTTTCTTCTTTCCTCTACTGCCTTTTTGCATGCTTCTTTTTTTTTTTAGACATATAATATTCTGTCTCACGGAAAATGATTATAGTGATAAATAAACACGTTCACTCCATATAAAAAGATAAAAAAATATAAAAATTTGCATGCTTCTGTGGACCATATCTTAGCTTTCCGTTTCTCCTGAATACCGATCACTTCCTTAGCTGTTTCTTTTAGTCCTTTCTTGGACTAAGCTGTTTCACAACTTGGAGGACGATGTTAAATAGAAGTGGGGAAAGGGGGTCACCCTGTCTAACTCCTGACTTCACTATGAAAGGTTGGCCCAGCTTCCCATTTATTTTCACTCGACTCGCGCTCTCATTCAAAGTACACGATACAAGTCGGATTAGCTTTGGTGGAATTCCCATCTCTTCCATTGCCAGGTAGAGCTCTTTCCTGATAATGGAATCATAAGCTGCTTTAAAATCGATGAAAAGGATTCTTATAATCTTGTTGAATTCTTTTGTTTTTTCCTTTATTTGTCTTAAAGAGAATATTTGGTCAATAGGTGACCTATTCCTCCTGAGACCTCCGTGTTAATCGCCCAACCGAGGTTCCACAAAATCCACAATTTGATTATATAAAATAACTGAAAATATTTTGTAAGCAGTATTCAGGAGGCTAATTTCCTGAGAATTGTTGCAGTCTGTAGAAGCACCTTTCTTCTTGAGTAAGGGAAAGATGACAGATTCCTTCCAGCTATCTGGCATTTTTTCAGTCTCCCAGATATTAACTATCAGATGAGTCAACTCCTCAGCCAGTGCTGATCCACCAATCTTCAAAAACTCCGCTGGTATGCCATCTGAACTGGAAGCCTTATTATTCTTGAAATTGTCAACAATCAGGACAACCTCATCTAAATCTGGTGGGCTCACTTCATGGTCATTCTCAGTGTCTTAAAAATCCTTATCAGGATACTCGTGATCTTCCCTAGGGTTTAGTAATTCCTGAAAATGTTCCATCCATCTACCTTGCACATCTTGATCCTGGAAGACCATTTTCCCATCAGAACGCTTTATCATCAGGCAGTTATTTATAAAACCTGATTTTATTTTGTTTATTTCACCGAAATACTTTTTGGCCTCATTGTTCCTGCTGTACTCTTCCACATTACGCCAGTTTTCCTGTAATGCATATCTTTTCTTTTGCCTCAGAACCTTTTTTGCATTAGCTCTGGCTGGTACTCGTTTCTGTTCTGTCTTGTATCCCTGTTTAGAAGTTTTTTCCTCTTTTCGTTCCGCACATTGACTGCTTCTTCACACTCCATGTCAAACCACACGTTTTTTAACTTTCTGTTTCCATCCCTCTTACAATGTTGGTCAGCTGAATCAGGTATAGCTTTTCTAATATGTTTCCAATCCTCATTAACATGTCTTCCTCCAATTACAGCTGGGATGTTACCTACACCTTTTTCAACGTCTCTCAGGAAAGCATACCTTATTTCCTCTTCCTTTAACTTTTCTCTTGCCCAGGTGATCTGTGATTTACTCCTTTCACACATTCTTATCTTATATGCATGTTTGATCTTTGCAACTACCAGAAAATGATCAGAAGAGATGTCTGGCCCCCTATATGATCTCACATCATTAACTATATTAAAATGTCTACTAGACTCTAAACAAGTTAAGCAAGAATTATCCAACTTCAAATCCCAATCCTTTAACTCCTATCTTGCCTCCCTCTCCGCTCACGACAATTCCCTCTGGAATATCACCAAGAAAATCCTAAAATCCCATAATATTTCTCATCCCCTCCGTCGAGGTGATGGCTCCTGGGCGGTGTCTGAAGACAAAGCTGAGGAATTCGCCGAACACCTCTCCTGTACATTTACTCCTTATCCTGAATCCCATCCCACTCATACTGCAAAAGTAGAAAAATTCCTCTCCTCATCAATTCCACTTTCTCTACCACCAAAAGCAGTTCATCCTTCTGAGGTCAAATATCATTTACAAAAACTATCTTCCCGCAAATCTCCTGGATACGACCTTCTAACCCCATAGATCCTTCATCAACTACCACCCACAGCGATCATGTTCCTCATATACACTGACAGCCAAAAAATTCCACCCACTTGATTTTTTCATGTTTTCATCTAAAAATATTTCTGCTTTGGATTGGTCTATTGTTTTTAATGAATAAATAGATAATCTTTTGTTTGTTTTCAATTAAGAATGTTAATATAGAGGATAATAACTCTTGATCCTTAATTCAATGAAATGATTCTAGATTCCAATGTTTACTTTCTATGGAATCAAAATGTTTATTCAGTATCATTAGTTCAGTGCCGTTTCTTGCAGCACATTTCTTAGTCTCCGCCTTATAATTTTTTCAATATTAAGTTTAAAAATCCTCTTAGTGCTGAGGATGTTGCGTGTGGTGTGGCAGTTATTGATGATGGACGTTCCATTAGATATGCAGCTAATGCCATCGGAGTTCCATAAGAAACTGTACGAGACGCCGCCAGGCGTTTTCGGGAAACTGGTTCTTACAATAGAAGGCCCTGGTTCTGGGCGGCCTAGGGTAACAGAACCACGGGATGACCGGTTTTTGACTTTGAGAATTTTACGAAACCGGCACCTTATCGTTGTTCAAGCGATTCATCAGCTCGAAGAAGTTCGAGGTGTGCAAATTTCTGAACGTACCGCTCGGAGAAGATTAAATGAGTATGGATTAATGGCTTTTCGTCCAGTAAGAGGACCAGAGTTGACCAGAACTCACAGAGTAACAGGGCTGGCTTTCGCTCGAGAACACAGACATTGGACTATGGACGAATGGAGCGCTGTACTTTTTAAAGATGAGTCAAGATTCGCTCTTCGATCTCTAGAGGGGCGTGAAAGGGTGTCGATAAGAAGAAACGAAAGATATGCAGCCTGTAATTTTTCCCAGAGCCAACCTTTCCAACATAGTTCCTTAATGGTGTGGGCTGGGATTTCAATGGAGCGCCACACAGAATTGGTTGCTGTTCGTGGAGGGTCTTTGACGGCCATTCACTATGTAGATGAGATTTTGGAACCTCATGTGTTGCCTATCCTCAACGAAATTGGCGATCGTTCTATTCTAATGCACGATAATGCAGGTGCACATGTCGCCCGCATAGTGCAGACGTTCCTTCAACAGAACAATATTGAGGTTTTAGCCTGGCCAGCACGTTCTCCAGATTTGAACCCCATTGAGCATTTATGGGATAACCTCGGAAGACGAATAAGAGCGCGTGCAACACTTCCTGATACACTGCAGGACCTTGAAAGGGCTCTTCGGGAGGAATGGGCTATCCTCCAGCAAAGGGACATTTCCCAACTGGTGGAAAGTATGCCGAGGTATCTTCAAGAAATAGTGAAGGCAAGAGGAAGAAACACGCGCTACGTAATTAATTTTTTTTAGAATAATAATGGTTCATTTTGGAATCTTGGAAACATTGGAATCTAAAATCATTTCATTGAATTAAGGATTAAGGGTTATTGTCCTCTATATTAACATTCCTAATTGAAAACAAACAAAAAGATTAACTATTTATTCATTAAAAACAATAGACCAATCCAAAGCAGAAATATTTTTAGATGAAAACATGAAAAAATCAAGTGGGTGGAATTTTTTGCCTGTCAGTGTATATATACAACTGCAACCTAAGAACTACCCATTTTCCTCTCTTATGGGAACATTCCACGATCGTCCTTATCCTGATACCAGCCAAACCTTCCAATAATACATCATCCTATAGACCAATCTGCCTACTCCCAATCCTTTCAAAAATATTTGAAAAATTCCTACTATAAAGAATCCTACCCATAATAGAATCATAAAACCTTCCTACCCATCAATTCAGATTTCGTTTCCAGCATTCCACTGTTCAACAAGTACTCCGAATTGTTGACCACATATCCTCAAGATTAGAAAGCAAAGAGTGTTGCTTGGGAGCATTCCTGGACATTGAGCAAGCTTTAGACCGCATATGGCACACCGGACTACTCTTCAAGCTCAAAACCCACCTACCCCAGTACACCTCTCTCTGATTGAGCTCTGGTGCAACAAATGGCGCATCATAGTAAATGAATCCAAATCCAAACACATCACTTTTACCCTTCAGCGCAAGTCCTGTCCACCAGTCTATTTCAGATCCATACCACTTCCTCTCTCAGACACAGTCTGATATCTGGTGCTTTCTTCTAGATAAAAGACTAATGTGGAATCCACATACCAGACTTAAAAGACAACAACTTAACAGACAATATGGAGAGCTATATAGATTAATGAATAGAAAATCTCTACTTTCAGTCGACAACAAACTACTAATCTACAAGACAATCCTGAAACCTATCTGGACCTATGTACTGAGCTGTGGGGGACAACAAAACCTTCTAACATTAAACGCATTCAATCCTTTCAGTCTAAAGTCCTCTTAACAATAGTCGATGCTCCCTTCTATGTAATCAATAAAACCCTCCATAATGACCTTCATATTCCATTTGTTATTGACCTAATCCCTGATAACTTTTCCAAATTTCACCAGAACCTCACTCATCTTCCTAATCCTGTAGCACAATCCCTATCTAGCTCCAGCCATCCCTACAATCCTCCCAGGGGGTCAAAACGGCAGTGGCCCCGCGACCTTTTGTAAATATGTATATATTGGACTACTGGCAATGGCCAAATTCTCCACTGAAGTCCTGAGCGTCTGTTGCTCTAGTGCCCTCCATCAGTCTCCACTGGCTTGCAATACTACTGACGCGGCTGGGAGAGAAGCCCTGGGAGATCCTGGAGGTCTGCCTTGGCTTCCACATTTGGGGGACAAAGCATGACTCAGAATCCCCTGGATGAATGTAAATGTTGTATATAGGTGTGAATGTGTTTTATCTATTTTGATTTCATTTAGTTTCTACATTTTTTTTTTTACTTATGTATGTTAATTTTCTTATTTTACTTTCTACAACCTTTTTTTCTTCTATCTCTATTTTAGTTATCATTTGTTATTGATATTGTGTGAATGTTTGATGTAGCCCTAATATTAATGCCCTCCAATGTGGGAGAATGTATTCATTTTCAACTAACAGGAAAAAAAAAAAAAGAAAAAAAAAGTGATCCGAATCACAGTCTGCTCCACAATAGTTTCTTACACCTTGTACTGAGCTCTGATGTCTCTTGTCTATCTGTACATGGTCGATTTGGTAGAAAGAATGTATATAAAATCCAAATGTTAAGAAAAGAAAGAAAAAAAAGTGCTATATTTGTCAAGATTTGAGTGTGATCTCCCTGTCCAAGTGCTAGCTATAAGGGTACCTCTTAAGTTGTTTACATTATGCGATATATATAAATAATGCAACTTTCATGAATTGTGAGTTGCTTCCAGGTGGTTTAAGACATGCAAGTATATTCATTGAGGGACATCATGCTTCAACATATCTAAAGCAAGAATCCGGTGTACATCGAGTTCAAAGGGTTCCATCTACAGAAAAAGCAGGCAGAATTCACACTAGTACAGCTACAGTAATTGTTCTTCCTCAACCAACAGAAGTAATATTTCATGTTATATGAAACTATAATGTATTTTAATTTAATACATTTTATGTTTAATATTTCAAAATTGTTAAATATTGTTTAATATTTCACAAAATTGTTTAATATTTCAAATTATTTGTGGAATCGTTCGACTATTGATCAAATATTTTCTTTACGGCAAATATTAGAGAAAAAATTGGAGTATAACGGTATTGTTCACCAGCTGTTTATAGATTTTAAAAAGGCTTACGATTCTATTGACCGCCAGAAACTGTATAATATTCTAATCGAGCAGGGGATTCCAAAAAAACTAGTAAATCTAGTCAGGATGTGCTTGATGGAGACACTCAATAAAGTTAGAATCGGTAATAATTTGTCCGAAAAATTTGAGGTTCGTTCGGGCTTAAAACAGGGAGATTCTCTTTCGCCTGTCCTGTTCAATTTGGCATTAGAACATGCCATTAGGGAGGTAATGCGAACCGAGAAAGGGTTGGATCTGGGCGGGACAACATCTGTGCTGGGCTATGCTGATGATCTGGTTCTGTTAAGCGAAGATGTTGAAACTATAAAACTAAATACGACAACGTTAATGAAAGCCGATAAAGAACTAGGACTCGAAATAAACGTGGATAAAACAAAATATATGGTTAGCTGCAAAAATGGCGATACTACTGGTGATATCGATATAGATGGTAGTATGTTTGAACAGGTAGATAAATTTAGGTATCTAGGTTCTACGATAACTAGAAAAAACGATATTGAAGAAGAGATTAAGGTTAAACTGAAGGCGGGGAATGCTTGTTATTTTTCTGTGACAAAACTACTTAGTTCGCGCCTCTTGTCCCGAAACTTAAAAATTAGAATCTATAAAACAATTATCTTGCCTACAGTTCTTTATGGATGCGAAACTTGGCCGCTTACATTAAGGGATGAGCAGCGTCTTAAGGTTTTTGAAAATAAAGTATTGCGTAGAATATTCGGACCGAAGAAGGATGAGTTAACCGGAGAGTTCAGACGGTTACACAACGCCGAATTGCGTGAGCTGTATCCGGGTAATATAATTGAGGTAATTTCATCGCGGCGAATCAAATGGGCTTGTAAAGTTGTTGGGCTTCGTAACGAGAGAATTCCTAAAAGGTTAATATTTGCTGTGCCGAATGGTAAGCATCCGAGGGGTAGACCGAAGCGAAGGTGGGAAGATTGCATTAAAGCCGATCTGAAGGGACTGGGTTTAGACGGCGAACGGTGGAGGGAGGTGTGTAACAAGCGATTGGTGGTGTCGGCATCGAACCTTCGGGTTCGCTAAGCCTTATTATTATTATTGCGAATTATTATTATTATTATTATTATTATTATTATGTTTAATATTTATTCTTTTACTTTGTCTATTTAATTTACAATTTTGTTATATATTCCTACTTAATCCACTTTTTGTTTTCATTCTAGTTGATTTTATTTTTTTGTTATAAATATTTTCATCATCTGTTAAATTAGTTTTAGATTGAACGTTTCAAAACATAAATTATTATAAGTAAAGCTTTAAATTGTTCTTTTAACTTTGTTTAAATTTTAATTTGGGATAATTATTTTCTTCATTAATTATAATAATAATTATTTGTTGAAACTCTCTTTACTGTTACCCCAATTAACTAAAACTGATTATACATTAACATGTAGATAGTTATTAACATTTTATAGCAGACATAACCTAACATTGTTATTCAACTGTAACCACCAAAAATATGGGGTGTATTAATAAAATTAGATTGACATTCCGCCATCATATGTATTCCAAATACCAATAAAAACCATTAAATTTTATTTAAAATCATTTCAAACTAGGATGCTAAATCATAAGGATTTGGTCACGATGGTGAGCAGTTTCAGGGAAATAGACAAGCATTAACGGTTTGCAGTATGTAATGGAGGTCGTTGCCATGGGCAGTACTAGAGAAATAGTACCTTTAGAAAACATTGGTGTTAGTTAAATGAAATTTCATAATGAATAATTTCTAATATTTTTGCTATTAAAAATCAAAATTAAGAATTTTATTATTGTAAAGAAGAGGTCAAACTAATATTAATTTGTTATATTGATCATTTTCATCATAATGGTTATTATATTAATATATCTCTACTGTCAATTTGGCCTTTAATAATGATATTTATATCAAATTATTCAATTGACCTGATCAAAGAATCTATTAATTAAAATTTTAATACATATTAGTATCAGGATAAAGATTAAAGCCTTATATTAAAAAGTTTCCACAAAGCAGACACGTTGCTAAACATTTCTATTATTGTACCTTATCTACTATTATGATTGGGTAACCATAGACTTGTGATTTTTGGTCTTGTAAGCCCATAGACGCTAATTCGTCTGACTAGCAACAAATCAAGTAATTGTAAAAGTAATAACAAATCAAAAAAAAATTGTAAAACTAAATAAATATATAGTAACTAACTAGTTTAGATTGGTTTTATAGAAAAAAAAATCTGAAATTTAGTTTGGTTTTCTCTGAAATTTATTGTTTGAATATATGTAAATTATAATCTTATATAAAAGATTTTTATTTGATTTAGAAAAGTTATGATATAACATGAAAATTGGTTGGATTTTGTTTATAAATAAGACTACTGGATAAACCAAAAATAATGTGGTTTTAATTTTTTAAAAATCACTATTAAAATGTTCCTTAATTAATCTTTTAGGAAAGTTAGATGGAAAAAAAAAATTGATGTTTCAGAAACATTTATGGTTTTATGAGAAAGTAACCTCGATATCTGTTTTTCCATGTTTTTAAACATCAATGTATCAAAGGTTTAATACTTTTTTTTCATCATTACCCATTGTTGTTTTGCTATTCATTTTATTTCTTTGTTACTCATATGTAGTTATTCTGTATAAAACAAAAGAATAAGGAGTATTTAGGAATGTATAAATCTTTAGTTATTTCACATAATATTGGTTCAATTTTTTTGCAGATAGATGTCAAATTAAATTCCAAAGATTTAATTATAGAAACCAAAAGATCAAGTGGTGCTGGTGGTCAGCATGTTAATAAGACAGAAAGTGCTGTGAGAATTACCCATTTGCCTACAAGTGATTATTTTTTCTATTAATCATTACATTTCTTTATTTTAAGTAATATTATAATTGAAAATATATCTGTTATCGAAGTAATTAATGTATTTTCTCATGCACATTTTTTTTTTTTTTTTTTGTAAATCTAACAGTACCATTTTTTTTATTTCTTTCTTCTTGATGAATTGATTTCACGAAAACGAAATTCTAGCTGGGAAGTTATTCTTGCCAGGTGCTGTATTATTTTTCAAGAGTTTCAGTGCATCTAAGAATTATAGTAATTATATAGAGAGACACGATATCCAGTTCTATGTTCTACAAAACATTGTAGTCTGAACTATTAATTGCCATTTGGTCATTTTGAATTTTGGCATTCAAAACATCTTCTAAATGTTCAGCCCATCTATCTAACACAAGTTGATCATCACTAATAAGTAACCCATCCTTATTGTGGTATATATTCACTTTAAGTTGGAAGCACTTCCTCTTTCTTCTAACTATAAAATTTCCTTTCTTCTTTACACTCCTTCATTTCCTCCATATTCTCGATCTTCTTCCTCAACAATTCTCTCTACTTATTGATTTCTGCATAATATAGTCGTATTTCTCCTACAAATAAAATGTTTTTCCTATTTGCCTCTGGTATCTCTTTGCAACATTACTTGCCTATCAATATTCTTTAATAAAATGGTATTAGCACTTCAGCATTGTATTAGCATTTCTTTTCAGAATCGTTACTCTGAACACCTGATCAGCTGCCTCTTTGCTAAGTGCCTTTAAACTATTCCACCCCTCTCTGTAGTACCATGTGATTCAATATATATTCCTGGTTTGTGTCTCAAAGTTTCCTCATGTGATTCCTTATGCTCCTGGTTATTTAATTTATCAATGTTTCATCTTTATTCTATTGTCTTTCTGAAAATTTGATTATCTATGTCTAAAAAGAGCTCTTAGAAGAAAGTGATCAGTCTCTGCAGGCTTCAACATCGATTATACTGGAGGCATGTCTCTGTGAAATCAAAATATGATCAGTTTAATTGATGCTGCCACCCTTAAGTTTTCATATTCTCAAATGTGTGAGTGAGTTTATGTTGAAAAAAGGATAGATCACTAGAAAAAGTTGTGCAATTACTTTAAGTTTGGTTTTGTCCCAATTATTGTCCAATGATAAATGTGACCGAAATTAAAAATTACCAATGTATAAGTAATAATTGTGACTTGTTTGTTTGTTTCCGTGGCTCTAAAGCCCTTGTAGGGCCTTGGCCTCCACAACAGCACCTCTCCAATCCTCTGTATCAGCAGCCCGGGTTTCTTTATTGTCCAATTCCCATCTTCTGCAAATCGTCCTCCACATCATTAATCCATCTAAGTCTGGGCCTTCCTCTCCTTCTTTTGCCTCCTGGTTTACCATATAATAGTCTTTTTGGGTATCAATCTTCACCCATCCTTTCTATGTGCCTAAGCCATCTTATTATTATTATTAAATGGCACTACATCCCAATTATTTGAGACTTGGCCTGCTCCAGCATGGATCTCCAGTTCTCCCGGTTAGTTGCTGCAGCCTTCCAATTTCTGACACCAAGTAGTCTACATGCATCAGCAGCCACACAGTCTTGCCAGCGCAAACATGGTCTTCCCACTCGTCTGTTTCCAAACACAGGCTCATTCATAGCTCTCTGTGGGGGTGCATTCATATCCATCCGCGCGACATGTCCCGCCCAGCGTAGTCTTGCCAGTACGATGAATTGGCTCACATCCAGGTCATTAAACAATGTCTTTATTTCCAAATTCGTTCTCCTCCTCCAATTCTGTGGTGTTTCCTGGACCCCTCCAAATATGCGTCGTATAATCCTCCTTTCAAATCTGAGCAGGGATTTCTCAACTGCTTTAGTTAAGGTCTAACTCTCACAGCCATATGTGAGCACTGGTCTAATAAGAGTTTTATATATTCTTATTTTGGCCTGTCTTGACAACATTCTACTGCGAAGATGTCTCTGGAGGGAGAAATAGCACCGATTAGCCACTGCGATCCTCCTGTCTATCTCACAATCAATGTTATTTTGTGCATTTATCAATGAACCAAGATATACAAATTCGTCAACATTTTCGATTCCACGCTGTTCCAGCCATGCTTGGTTTTTCCTTGTTAGGCGTGAGGATAGGGTGGACATATATTTTGTTTTGGACGTATTGATAATAGGACCAATTTTGGCTGCTGACTCTTCCAGACTTGTAAAAGCTTCCTGTACTGCCGCAAACGATCTTCCCATTATATCAATGTCATCCGCATATCCAAGTATTTGAGTCATTTGATTTAGGAGGGTTCCTGTAGTCTGGATACCAGAATCCCTTATGACTTTTTCAAGGGTGAAGTTGAATACCAGACATGCCAGAGCGTCTCCCTGCCTTACACCTGTCGATGTTCTAAACCCCTTTGACAAGTCACCTTGTACTTGTACGAAACACTCATTACCCTCCATTGTCATTCTAACAAGCCTTACAAGTTTTTTTGGTACATTCATTTCTAACATTGCTTTGTATGCTTCCTCACGATTTATGGAATCATATGCTTGCTTGAAATCAATGAAGATGTGATGTGTACCAATTTGATATTCTTTGGTTTTCTCCAGAACGATTCGCAAGGTGAATATTTGATTGATGGTTGATTTACCCTTAATGAATCCGTCCTGGTATTTTCCGATTTCAGCCTCGGCATAAGAAATGATTCTTCTATAAAGAATCCTTGAAAAAATTTTATAGGCGGTGGGTAGAAGGCATATGCCCCTGTAATTGTTACATTGATAGACGTCCCCTTTTTTGTACACTGGACATATAATGGATTTTTTCCAATCACTTGGAAGCTCTTCATCAACCCAAACGGCATGAAACATTTCCTGGAGGAGTTTTATGAGCTCTTGACTACCATGTTTATAGAACTCTGCAGGGATGTTATCAATGCCTGGGGCTCTATTGCTTTTTAGTCCTTTTATGGCTTCATTGATTTCTTCCTCGTCTGGGGGTTCTACGTCTTTCACGTCACCACCTGTAATTGGATCATTTGCCTCTGAGACGTGTGCCATTTCTGTTGAGAAGAGTTGAAAAGTATTCAGCACATCTATCCGAAATGCCTTGTTTGTCAGTTACTAAGGAGCCATCGTTTGCTCTGCATCCTGTGGTACGGGCGATAAAGGGCTTTCTTCCTTTATTAATAACCTGGAAGAATTCTCTAGTATTTTTGGAGATGAAGGCCTCTTTTATCTCCTGTAGACTCTTATTCTCCCATCGTCTTTTCTTCCTCCTATGGACATGCCTCTCGCGCCTTCTCGTTGCTCTGTATTCCTCGACAGAGCTTCGTGTGTGCTTCTTTTGCATCATTTTATTGTATTCAATGTTTTTTCTCTTGGTCACTGCACCACATTCGTCATCGAACCACGGGTTATATATCTGTTTGGTCTTATCTCCTACAACCTTGTTCGCTACTTCCATAAGTGCAGTGCGGCATGAGTTCCATTGTGACTCGAGATTTGATTCTGGGACAGAGTTCCTTAATCTGATGTCCAGTTGGTATGAGAATCTAATGCTTGTATCACTGTCCATAAACTTTTCAATATTGTACCTCTTCAGAGAACGTCGAGGCTGGTACTTCACTGTTGATATCCGATACCTTATCTTTGCAATTATAAGGTAGTGGTCCGAGTCAATGTTATCCCCTCGTTTTGTGCGAACATCAAGTAATGAGTATTTATATCTGGCGCTGATGAGTACATGGTCGATCTGAGAGCTTGTAGTGGATCCGTTCCATCCGAATAAGCCCTCTTATACAGCTTGATTTAATGTAAGTGACTATGCCTGGTTGTTTATACAGTCCTTTGAGTTCTCTGTTATTTCTTATTTTCCATTGGCCATTTATACGTATCGGCCCAAAGATTTCCCGAAGGACCTTCTTTTCCCATCCTTCGGATCTTCTCACATTTTTGTTTCAGGACCCATGTTTCACCTGTGTAAGTGGATATTGGTCTTAAGATAGTCTTATAAATCAGTAGCTTTGCCCTCTGTGAAAGATTTTGAAAACGCAATGTTTTCCGTAATGCAAAAAGACTTCTGTTGCCTGCTGTGATTCTTGCTTTAATTTCTACAGTGATGTCATTTTTGTACGTCACTAAGGCTCCAAGATATTTGAAACTACCAGCTTTCTTAAAAGTGTGGTTGAGCAGTTACATGCTATCCTGTTCCTCCTGTCCGTCACTTTTGGAGGATATCATATATTTTTTTTTTCCTTATTTATTTTAAGACTCAATTTTTTTCCAGCATCTTCAAACTCCTGTAAAGCCCGTGATAGTGCGGCTTAGGTCTTGACAATATTACCACGTCATCAGCATACACTAAGTGTTGGGTAAATCTATTATAGATTGTTCCTCCTGGGTTTGTCTTTATTGCTCTAGCCGCTTGCTCCAATACAATATTAAATAATACAGGAGAGAGAGGATCTCCTTGGCGTAAACCTTCCACTACCTCAAATTCTTCTGACAGTGTTCTGTATCTTCAGCCTTCATCTGGTTTTTTCAAGGGTCATCAATCCTACGAGCTTTTCTGGAACTCCAAGTGCCTTCATTACTTTAAGCAGTTCATTTCTATCTTATGCTTGGTGGAAATCGATGAAGAGATGATGGAGATCTATATTATATTCATATACCTTCTCCAGCATTTGTCGAATAGATAAGATGTGGTCTATTGTACTTCTCCCTGGTAGAAAGCCACTTTGGTATTCACCATTATGACTAACATTTATTATAACTGCTAGTTACAAAATTCTGTCTTTTGTGCTTTCCCTAACTAAAGTGCTACAAAAGTTTATTTTAAAAGCTATGTTGTTGATAGGTTTAAGTTAAAAGTTATTGTAGATAGGTTTAGTTGTTGGGTTGATGTAAAGGGTGTTTTGGAGAGAATAAGTTGAAATTTCTAAATTATTGTATCTGGGTATAAAGTTCATTGGGGAAGGGATTATTTTAATTTTTATAATACATTATGATCAAGGTCTAATTAAGCAATATTTTTGTTCCAGAAATATCTGTTGAATGTCAAACAGATAGATCTCAGATCAGAAACAAGGAAATAGCTTTTCAAAAGCTTCGTGCTAAAATATATGAATTACAGGAAAGAGAGCAAAATACGACTAGCACACTATCAAGAAAATTACAGGTTATTTATTCCATTTTAATTTTATAATAGTCTTTAATATAATATTTATAATAGTATTTATTTTAAATTGATTTATAGATGTTCTTTGATGGTCCCAGTGTTGACATTTTCTGTAAAAATGAAAAAAAATAAATAAAATAAAAGCTTCATAAAAAATCACCATGTAACTTTCTTTATGTTACAGATGGGAACTAGTGCTCGTTCAGATAAAGTTAGAACTTACAATTTCCCTCAAGACAGGATTACAGATCACCGAATTTTGAAAACTATGCATAATATTCCTGAATTTTTAGAAGGAGGAGAAATGTTAGAAGAATTAATAACTGAATTGATTTTAGAATCCAACAAGGCTAGATTTGAGCAATTTATGTTAAGTTTGAAAGAAAAGGATTTTTACAGTTTTTTAGAAAAAACATTTGCTCATTAGCATATAGTACTTTTTTGTATGATTTTTCTATTATGTTTATGTATTTCATCAAAATTCAATTAAGTACCATAATTGTAAATATAAAGCAAAAACAATGTGTGATTATGAAAAAAAAAATATATATTTTTTAATAAAAATATAATGGACTAATGATTTTTAGATATAATTGTAAAAAGAACAAAAAACCTTAGAATATATAATTATTTTCTTAAACCCCCTAGGTTAAGGAAACATTTTAAATGATCTATTGAATTGTCCAGAAAACAATGTAGGATTTGGTTTAAAAAGAAAGATTTACAACTGTTTTATTTAATCAAAATAGTCTCCACTACTATAAATACTTTTCCACTTTCTGGCAAACATGTTGGCAACTTTTCCATTCCCTCGGAATAGAATTTCCCATCTTTAGAATTGATAAACTCCAAAAACACATTTTCTTATTTCTTTTGCCCATTAAATTTTTTGTCATGTAAGTAAAGTTGAACTTGAATAATGTCCAGGTGTCTTAAAAAATGATAATCCGTAGGCAAGAGGTCTGGAGAGTAGGGCAGATGTGGCAGAGTTTCATATCCAAGCTCCAACAGTTTTTGTGAAGTGACAAGTGAGACATGTGGCCGATCGTTGTGCAACAAAATGGGCCCCTTCCAATTGATCAAAGATGGCTTTATTATTGCCAATTTCTGATGCATTGCATTAATTTGGTTACAATACAATTTGGCATTGATGGTTTCTCCAGGGTTTAAGAAGCTGTAGTGTATCTAACTACATGAAGCCCACCAAATACTAACCATAATTTTTTTTTATGAGTGGGGGCTTTGGAAAATGTTTTGTTGCTTCTTCTTTGTTGAGCCACTGTCCAGAATATCTACTGTTAATGTAAAGTATTCACTTATCATCACAAATAGCATTTCTGGACAGAAAAGGATGTTTTTTGTTTCGGCAAAGAAGTGTAGCACAAACTTCATAACGCTGTTTTTTTATCAGTCATTTAATGTGTGTGGAACCCAACTTTCTAGCTTTTTTACCTTTTCAATCGCCTTGAGGTGGTCATCGATGGTCGATTTGCTAAGTTTAAGTTTCCTTTCAGTTCTGTTTTTTTTTTCCACCAAAGCCCGCAGAACATTGTCATCAAGAGAGGAGGTCCTTCCAGAACCTTCTTTGTTTTCAAGGCTGAAGTCTCCCTCCCAAAATTTTTTGAACGACCATTTAACACTCATTAATGCTACTCTTGCTCCAGACTTGATTGATGTTTCAGGCTGTCTGGGCCCCATCCCGGCCGTTAAACTCGTAAAACAAAATTATGGATGATAAATATTCAGGACGCAGTCATTATAAAAAACTTTATAACGACTGTGTCCTGAATAATTATCATCTATGATATTTGGAACAGTCGATTAACTTCCTTCAATAAAACAAAATTATATGAAAACAATGTGTTGAAATCTTAGTAAAGAATGAATTATTTCTAAGCAGCAAAATGCTACAGACGTAAAAAAAACATTATCGTTTGTTGTGTTGACATTCATGCTAGTGAATAATCCAGTAAACCTAAACAGTTTGTTATATAGATGGGTATTTTAAAGAAAACTCAAAATCCTGAATTATTTTCCTGACAACCCAATTTATCTTTTCATGTTTATTAAAAACATTTATTTATGATCCAGTTTCCAAATTGAGAAAAAATCATTAATAATTTCATAACATTAATATTACTATTGATATAATCTATACTCTCACTGATCATAGGTTATTTATGAGCCGCTATACTATTAGAAAGGCGGGATGCCAATTGAGTTAAAACATTAATTTTTTCCATTAACCAAAATTTTATAGCTATAATTAAAATCTCCATTCTATGTAGCTACATTAGTGTGATAAAAACTTGATTTTAATAAGAAATTTCTGTTCTACAATCATGTTCAACAGGCTTCACTTTCATTTATTTTTTTGCTTGAAAATGTGAAATCCTCATTAGCCTAATCCTCACCTTTATCACTATTTCCTTCCTCTTATAAACTGATGCTGCATTTTATTAAAGCTCTATATATCTTATTCTTATCCCAGGAATATAGTTGGTCCTTCTGTATTTGGTACTTATTTATACTTCTGAGTAACTGATTTGATACTTCTTGTATTTCTAGAATGCAGTATAATTTATTGTCTGTTTATTTTGTCTATTTCATCGGAGGATTGTGATTCTGTTAGTTATAATGCCTTACATAAAGTTATTGTGTTTTTAATTTAACTTTTTTTTTTTTTTGCTATGTAGTCAATAATATTAAGAAAAAGAATAACTTAGATCTCAAAATTTTTACTATAACAAATGTATTAAATTATACAACATGGTGATAGTATGTTTTAGTTCTCTTGGTTTTACAAAGCCCTCTTTATTTTATCCATTTTGAAACATGCAATTGTTTCAGAAACGTAATTATCAAATATTACAATACTTGGAGAACTGAAATAGTTGAAAGAATTGAGTTAATAACAAAAAAAATCTCTTGGAGGGTATTGGTTTTAAAAACATACAGTTGGGATTAAAAGAAAGAATTTAAAAATATATACAAATAAGAAATTTGTCATTCTATCAACTGAAAAATATTGTTTTGTTCTTATCTCTTGATAATTTGATTAAACTAAATTTAAAGAATAGTTAGTTGGGGGGAGAGGGGAAGGGTGCGGTCATCATCCACACACATATTACGTTGGTGAAGAGCTGGACCATAGGATGAATGGAGTGGCTCCAGGAATGAGCGCCAACTCAGTGGTAAAATACCCAGCTGACTTATCTATATAGTTGACTAAGAGGCAAAAAACTAATAAATAAGTGGTAATACAAATGTCAATAGGTGGCTGTAAGGTAAAATATGTTCTATTTTAAAAATAAACTATTATTATTATAACAAGGGGGGTGCCAACATTGGATCTCGCTCCATCCCAAAATTTGCCTCGGATTGGTACTGTGTTGATAGATTGTGTTACTGTTGACCGCACCTCTTCTGACTAACTATGCTTCAAATTAGAACTATGGTCAATCATTTCCATACTGTCATAATAATATTAAATATATTTTTAGTAATAGTTTATGTTACAATATTTCTTAGTATAAAATTTTATTCTAATTTCAAGTAATAATGGACTGAATATTAGAAAAACATTGAAGCTCATGTTTATAAGCTATAATTTATAAAATGGAATTAATACAATTCTTGTTTTGCAATTAAATAAATTGGCATTGCATGCTTAAGCAAAGTTATGAGAAGCATTTGAATCGGTGAGTGCAGAAACCACTTCAATCGTTTTCGATGAAAAGCTTAGAAAGGGAAGATGCTTGTAGAGTACAAGAACCAGGTTAGTTTGTTGAGTAGTTCCATAAATACATAACATCTTTTTCGATCGTTGAGCGCAGAAATAACATGAGTCAGTGACTGACGTGGTTTCTGCACCCATCGCTGGATCACGTGACCAGCAGAGATGGGCATATTTATATTCAAAAATATAAATACGAATACCATTTATATTTTTGGTACTTATGAATATATTTTTTAATTCATATAAAAATATAAATGTAAATGAAAACTTCAAAGTTATGATGAACTATTTACCTGGCCAACCACACCTGACAATGTTACAATCGTCGAGAATGATCTTTAAGAGCGTTTCACTTTGTTATATTCCTCTTTTATGGTGACTTTGCAATACTGTAACTTCATTTTTGATATAATATGAAAAAATATAAATTTTTAAAATTGTTGTAAAATAAGTTAAATTAAAATTGATACAAATAAATTAAATTGTAATATATATTAAAATTAATACAAATTGTTTCAAAATAAATTTTTAATTAAAAAATATAAACTTTTAATGAATGGTTACCTTTTTCCAAGTTTTCAGCTGTCTGTAAAAAACAGTTGAGTGCAGAAACAGCATAAGTCTGAATTTAATTTTAAATATTCCGGAGCCTAATTTATGTCGACCTTAGGTAATTTTTGCATGACAGCAACATAAATGCATGTTATGACAGAGGAAAAAAAAAGTTCAAATATTTGAAAATTTGGAAGTTATGATGTTTTTCTCTCTCCTTAAAAAATTGTGACTGAAATGGTTTCTGCACTCACCGATTCATTTGAAGCAAGCTATGAATCAGTCATTGTTATCCAATATTAATAATTTTTAAACTCTGTGATTGATAATTAATATAAAAATATGTAAGACAAGTAGATTACACATGTAGTCAATTACTAGTAGCGGTAGTGCTCAGAAGGGGGGTTCATTATGCAGTATGCCATCAAAATTTTTGAGGGGGACACATTTTGATGGGGTTTTGAATTTTTTGGAAGGACACATGTTGATGGGGTTATGAATTTTTGAAATGAAAAATTTCAAACCAAGGAACAAGAGGAAAGAAAAGATCAGACTTCTGAAAGTGTCATTGTACATGAACTATTATTTTTTAAATTCTACTTTAGCTTGCTCAGTTTTTAAGATTAGAGTATTAAAATACCTTGGGAGAAGAGGAAGGGGAGGAGATTCATGTGCCATCGACCTTGGGGGGATGGCCACCTTTACTAATATTACAAGTAATAATATAATATGCTTAATTTACATTATACAAAAAGTTAAGTAAATATTTTTTTAGCTAATTAAAATGACTTTAGGTTGTTGAATATTTTTTACAGGTGCGTAATCTTCCATCAAAAATTTATTTAACAATATTTTTTTTTATAAAATCCTTACTATGTATGGTTGCCTTGTTTCTGTAGCCAATTTTCTTATTTGAGGTTCAAAAACCAATTAAATAAAAAAAATAAATATAATTCAGTTTTATATTCGAAATGATCGCTTATTTATTTTGTTTTTGTATATTTGGAAGGGATTGTTATCTGCACTTGATATCACTGGGATGTTGTTTGTTTATTCCGTTGCTAAGTGATTGCATTGAAGTTTTAACAGCCACAGTGGTCCTGATGTCAAAAAGAATGAAAAAAGCGTTAGCTAGGAAGATGGAAGAATTTGAAATGACCAAAAAAGCAAGATTGCAAATAGACCGCTACAAAAGGCAGTATAAAATAATGGAAGGTAGCCGCCTGGCATATAACGAAGAACTTTCAATTCAACTTGAAAAGCAC